AATAAAATACTATTACTACTAATAAAATAACCAAGTTGAATGCATCAAGAGACAAAGGGAGTTTTGTTCATTAAGAATTATTTTATTTTTACAAAGCATTAAAAGGATGCAAGAATCCTTTAAAAAGTATGAACAACAGTCATTATCCTGTCAATTACTTTTTGGCCGTTTTTGCTTTGCTTGTTTTGGAAGCTCTTCGTTTGGCTCTCTTGGGTTTTGTGGTCTTCTTGACCGCAGCTGTCTCACTGGCTTTTTCAGGACTTCTCAAACTTCTCCTTCTCTTCTTGGGTGATTTCTTTGCCCCAGCAGGTTTCTTAGCCGTCTTTCTCTTTGCACTCTTCGCCTTTGTCTTTTTAGGCTTTTTAGGCTTTGTAGCCGCTTTCGAGCCGATCTTAAATGATCCAGATGCTCCAGTGCCTTTGGTTTGAATCAGGCGACCGCTGGCCACCAGTCGCTTTACTGCCAGTTTGATGCGCGAGTTGTTTCTTTCAACATCATAACCACTGGCAGCCAGAGCTTTCTTCAGCGCGACCAGAGAGACGCCACCCCGCTCCTTTGAAGATGACAAGACCTTGAGGATCAGATCAGACACGCTGGCTCCTGACTTCTTGGCCTTGGACCTTCGTCTTGGCGTTTTAGTAGCAGAAGATGGGGCTGATGGAGAGGCTGTGGACATGACTGACAGCTTATTTGAGCTGGAGCGTCAGCTGGAAGGAGATGTCTGATGAGACTGAGTTGGAGGGCGGGCGCATGCAATTAAAATAGTCACCATGAGAACCGTGTAGACTCTAGTAATCATGATTTCAGCGCCTTATTATGAGCCGCAATAATTTGTGTTTTCCGATCAATAGAAAGAGTATGTTTTCTGTTTTTTTTAAATAATATAACGACCCGGATTGTCAGCCAGAAAATATAAAAAAGTGCCACAATAACATTTAACTTGTACGTAGCATTGTATTAATACAGTTCAAACTTGTTTTCTATTTGCAAATGTGAAGAATCAAAGTGTCATGCTGTTTTAAGACTGAACAGTTTCTAGACTTTGTATGATTGCATGCTTTTAAAAAGATTATTTGCTTATTATGTGCAATTGTTCTGTGAGATTGGACCATATTTAATATTATCATGAATTTAAAAAATAGAATATTTTGCAGAGTTTTTCAACAAATATTGCCGTTTTAGCTGACTAAAACACGTTTTCTTTTTTCTCACTTTTAGCAAATGATGGCCCTACAAAAACACTGACACGTTGAATAAATGTAATTAGAACTCCAATAACAACGATAAATTATATTTTTTATGTATTCTTTTTATTTTATTTAGATGCTAACACTTTCAGGTATATCAGGTGTGATTGTCTGAGATCTGAGGCTATTAGATGTCACTCATTACATCCATTGTGTTTATGTGGCTGACATTTAAAACTTCAAATAATGTTCAAATCATATTAGTTTAATTCATAAAAGCGTTTTACTTCTTACAGTTTGATCTTCTGGAGTTATTACACCAGAAGGGTGTCTCCCAGACCGCTGAAACCTTATCTCTGATGCCATGTCAGTTGGATGATAAATGACCTAAAAGGACACTTTTGGTTGTTTTGCATGTTCAGAGATGTCTG